ACCACGAGCAGTTCTGTCTTAGCAAGGTTGAGTTGAAGGTGATGGTCCTTCATCCAGCTAGAAATATCTCTCAGACAGGCTGCAATGCGAGCAGCTACCGTCGGATCATCTGGTTGGAAGGAGAAGTAGATTTGAGTGTCATCAACATAGCAGTGATAAGAAAAGCCATGCTTCTGAATGACAGATCCTAATGATGACATGTAGATGGAGAAGAGAAGTGGTCCAAGCACTGAGCCTTGAGGCTCAGTTTACTTTGAGCCCACCAGGAGCTCCATTTACTTTGATTCCGCCGAACTACTCTACAACCGTACTCAGGATGGGCACCCTATCAAGGAATATGTGGAGGAGTTTATTGAACTCTCTCATCTTGTGCCCTGGAGTGATGACGTATTAAATACTCTTTTCTGGCTTGGACTCGACAACAGTCTTGTTGGCCAGGTACCCACATCAGCCAGCTCTTATTCTCTCGCACAGTATATTGACTGCGTGATGTTGCTGTGTGGTTCCTCCCTCACCGCTGGTGAGGTGGTTGAAACCCCCATCCCGACTCTGTCACTGGCTACTTCTTTCATGTCTGTCCATGAGTTTGTTCCAGAGTCCACTCCAAGGTTCAGTCAAGTCCCCACTCCAGAGTGTCAGTCCAATTCTGAGTCCGCTCCAGAGACTAAGCCAGAGACCATAATAACCAAAGCCCAGTGGAGAAGGCTGAGTAAAAGGAAAGGGTCCGCTCCAGTGTCAGCTCCAGCCCCTGAGTCCGCTCCAGTGTCAGCTCCAGCCCTTGAGTTCGCTCCAGTGATTCCTGCTACTCTACTGGAGCACAGTCCAGTAAAAACTCCAGTCTCCACGCACTGCCCAGTGTCTGCTCCAGCCCCATGGTCCGCTCCAGTGTCGGCTCCAGCCCCTGGGTCCGCTCCAGTGTCGGCTCCAACCCGAGTTTGCTCCAGTGTCTCCTGCTCCTCTACTGGAGCACAGTCCAGTAAAAACTCCAGTCTCCATGCACTGCCCAGTAAAGGCTCCAGCGCCAGAGCACAACCCAGAGATAACTCCAGTCCCCGAGCACTACCCAGTAAGGACTCCAGCACTGTCCTTCCCTGAGTTCACGGTCAAGATGGCCACTACGCCAAAAACCCCAGTCAGGATGGTCGCCAGGCCTAAGTCTCGGCCTATCAGGACTACCATGCCAGAACCTATGGCTCTAGCCCCTGACCAGAGTTGAGTGAGGGCTCCTGTTCCCGAGTTAGGCCCTGTGAGGGCTCCTGTTCCCAAGTTTAGCCCAGAGAGGGCTTCTATTCCTGAGTTAG